TATTATTATTTTTAATTTATTACTATTTATTTAAATATAATTTATTAAATTAATTTATTTTAATTTAATTTATTTTTTTAATTCTTAACCTTTTTACTATGATGTATTTTTATATATATTTTTTATATTTCTAAGATTTTTAAATTGACATTTCTTATTTTTAATTTTTGCGGTTATTGTAACAGTATACAAACAATTGAATATTGTGTTTACATATATAATTTACATGTAGTGATAGAAGAAATTTCAAAACACACATGTGAATATTACTGATTTCTAAAATTTGATTAAAAAGAAACGTAATTTAAAGAAACAGTAATTTAATAAAATTTAAACAGATATTCTTTAAAAAAATTTAGAAACATACTTTAAAATTATATCTTACGTACGAATATCTTATATTTCGTAAATAATCTTGAATAAAGAAAAATTATTAGATTAATGTTTAGGAAAGATTTAAAAAAATATTGTTTAAAAATATTAATGTGTAATTGAATAATTGAATTGGAGAGAAAATAATTTTAACAAGTCTCATTAAAATTCAAAAATTTAATAATATTTTTTGTAAAATAATACGATTACAATCACGTATTAACACGTCCATGAAGAAATCTAATCTATTTGAAATTTATGTTTACGAATACTTTACAAAACTTCGAAAAAAATATTTCACTTAATATTTAAATCACATGTTTCACACGTGCGTCTTTGATTCCATTGATATTTATCAGAGTTTTCAAACAATACTTTGTACCATATTATAGATACTTTTGCTATACCATTCAGATAGCAAAACTGTTTCTCTTACTTATATAGAACAAAACAATTTTTATTAATATGAATAAAATATTAGCATTATATTAGATATAAGACATATAAGAAAAAATATTTATATACATATTATGCAAAACGTATACATTTTTGAAATAGCTAAGATCGCATATTATATTTCTATGGTAGAAAGATTAATTGTTAAAAGAATAATTTTTAACAAACCTTCCTACTCTCAATCAAATCATTTTCTTTTCTAGCATAGTTTCCTATGTATTACAATATAATCATAATTTATGAATTAAAATGTACCAAGTTTGAATCCATTTCTTGGATATATTAATATATTAGAAACAATTAAATATAATGTACGAATATATTTTGATTAAATCAAATTTCTCATTTAATTTTACTCAATTTCAAATTTGTAATATAAATAAATATAAAGACAATAATCTATATATTGAAGAAAAATTATAATTATAGTAGAATTAATATATTTTAGTTTGTAAGCCATAAAAGCTATGCTAAAAAGAAAATAAAAATTTATACATAATATTTAATTACGTATAACATATAGTCAATGAAAATGAATAATCAAAATTAAGAAAACAAGATAAATTTATCATCAATAATCATTAAGATTTTTTTTGAAAATTATAAGATATATGTGTATATATTATATATATAAGAAATTTTTTATAAATTAGGAACCTTTGTTAGTATTGTTTCTTTTTAAGTAATAACTATTTACTTATTCAAAAAAACTTTTTTTGCTTTTTTTTTTAAATTATATATAATAAAAAGTGAAAATAAATTATTTAGAAACATTTTTTTATTCTCTTAGAAACATTTCTTAGAGAAATTTCTTACACATGATACATATATATATATATATTGTTATATATTTTATAAAAAAAATTTTGATCAATTTGATTCATAATAAATTTATCTTGTTTGATTATTCATTCCTTAAATATGTTTATATAATAATATTTCTCAAATGCATTTGCTTCGCAAACACGTTAACTTCATCTTATCGCATAAGAGCTGACAACATTTACATTGAAAGTTTCGACAGCAATGTAAAAAGTCAAAGACATTAAAAAATAACAAGAATCAATTCATTTTTATGACAGCATTTCTTATTTCCTGGATATAACATAGTATTCTAAATTATCTTGTATATGAGTTTTGTTGTACTTTTAACTTTTGATTTAATACATGTATCTGCAATATGTTTTATATATATATATAATGTATATATAATAAATTATATTTTCTGTTTATCTAATATAATTTTATACATAATATAATTTATAGGAATAATAGATAATATAAGTACATACAATATTGAATTCATTATAGCATTAATCAGTTGCAATATAAAAAATTATAACAAAATCTTTGCATCAATTCAATATCTTGCACAAAAATAAATAAATTTATACGAGCTTTTGAAATGCAAACATTTGATGTCTGCTCTGTTTTATATAAGCTATTAAATATCTGCTCTGCTCTTATACAATAAGCTAAATTCTTTTGAGAAATATTTAATCAAAAATACATATATGATTTACTACTGTTTGATTCATATTTTATATGATAATTGAGTGGGAGGTACATGTTCAAAACTTAACTTAATCTTTGTCTATAGACATAGCTTTACGATAAAAATGTGTCATACAAGCATATTTTATTAATAAAATCGTTTTATGACACGATTAACATTATTGCCACATGTCATAATGCTATACATTGCAATATGATGAAATTACTTTCTGTAAAAACTTTTTCGATAAATCACTTCTCAAATGTAGAAACTTCTTCAACAAGTTTTAAAACTTACTGACTTATTATTTGTTGTTATTATGTTTAGCATAATAATAGCCAAAATAGTTTTCTTTTAAGAAATTTACTACCTTTTTTTTAAGTTTTTAATTATATTTTTTGAAGATGTTTCTACCTAGTTTTTAAAACAATTTATTATAATATTGTGATTGATTGATTGATTGATTGATTGATTTATTGATTGATTGATTATCAAAGTGTAAAGTATTATATTAAACTAATAAATATATTTTTTTTTAATATATCACTTTATTAAAAGAAAGAAAATAAATATGTCAAACAATAAAAAATTTTGCATATTACATAAATGTTAAGCCAATAAAATTATTACTGAATATATAAAATTTTTCAATTATACTTGTGAACATAATATTAAAATAGGCATTCAAATACAAATCATTCAACTCAGTCGTGGTATAAAAATAAACGAGGAACAAAATCTGTTATTGTGTTAAATCAGTCTTAGCTCAGTCTTATATTGTACAAATGTAACTAATATCTTATTTCAGTTCTATTAATATTAAACTAAAATCGAATGCGACAGTAATTTTTTTCTTGAAAACACATATTAGATTTTTACATTATTGTGTAAAACTCATATTTTATGTATTGTAAATGTTAGATGAAGTTTTGTATTGTTTTCTTTTTTTTATAAATGTTGATATCGATGAAATTTTTGTATTAACAAATATGACTAAGTTTATTATTACAGTGACAATAATAACAATGTTCATACTAGTCATAATCGTTAATACAAAAAAAGAAATGATAAAAATAATATTGAAGTTAATAATATTGATAATTATCATGGACGTAATAATAATGGCAATAAGTTTTGTTCAATTACGCATGCTTGCACCAGAAATATAGTAATGTAAAATTGAAAGAATGTTTTCGAAATATGATATGTTAAAAATATGATTACAATGTGATTTTGAATTTGTTTGATAATGTGTTGTATCGTTAAAATACGATCTCACTCACTTTTACGTAATACTTTCCATTTTTTTCTTTTTGCGTTATTTTGTATTAATTGTTATTTCTTTTTTGGTTTGTAGCATTTATCTGGATACACTTACAATTTATTCGTGTCATTCGCATTCTTTTTGATTACATACACTCATAAAAACAAACTCTTTAACCGCAACGATCATGCACACGTAGGTACCTCTTAATTCAAAATTGCATTTTAGTCTCCATTTGTATTAAATAACAGGAGACAATATTGTTAATTTATATAAATAGTTAAACATTTTTACGACTCTGGTCACAATAGTATTGTATACTGTTACTTTGTAATAGAATGTCGTTTAATCACACAACGATCAAGATATTTTTTTCATATATTTTTATATATATATATATATAAAAAAAAATTATAATCAAAATATAAAAAAAGTAAGACTGTAAAAATAATTAATATATAAAAAAAGATTCATATAAAATAATTAACTGTTCCGAAATATTAAAAAATTTTTTTTCAAATAAAGTATAATAAAAAAAAAAAAACAAAAATTAACTGTTTAAAAGAAATATCTTCTTCGTTACATCAGATATCTTACGAGGACATCTTATCCTGCAAAGATGTTTGATATAACAGAGATAATAGTCATATTTTTTTAAAAAATAGTAACTATTTTTCTTTATATATAATATAATTTTCTCTCACTTTTATTGCATTATTCTCGAATTTTCGATCCTAGTGAGTATTTCGATCGAATACTGAAGTAGATAAATTTATTTATTCGTTAATATTTTTAATATCGTTTTGCATTTTTATTTGCAATCGTTGTTCAGAAAAATAATTTAGAAAACATGTTTCGTCGTTTTACTAATAAAAATAACATATGATAGATTATAATTTATGAATCATTGGAAAATTACATTCTATAATCTTTCCCAATAATCCTCTCAATCTTAAAAAATAGTGATAAATACAATTCGAATACTGATAAACAAATACCCTTAAAAATCCTTTCTCGTTTTCCTTCATCACTCATCACTTTTCTGTTTTCTCTTCTTATCATTCAAACCACGAATTATAGACAACGAATAATTGCGTACAAATAATATGAAAATAATATTTCTCTGCTAATGTGAAACATTCATAAGGATATGATTTCAAAACGAAAAAGGACATCTTTCTTTTTCTTTTTTTTTTTTCCTTCTTTGTACTTGATTTCTTGGCACTCAAGAGAAAACCCGAAGTTTCGAAAGGAACTTATACGGATTTCCATATTTATATACATATTAGTAGGAAAATATTGCATCTAACACTTGTTCGAGGGTTTTAAGCGTCATACGCTTATACATCTAAAATCGAGAAAAACATTAACGTCGCTTCTTGCAATTACTGTCATATAGGATAAATTTTTTTCTTTTTTTTTACTATTTTTCAACGTTTGTATAAAATCTTTCTCCCAATCATTCCGTCATCTCACTCATTCAACCACAACCAATGAACAGATCATTTTAAATAAGAAGAACTCGATTATTGCCGAAATCAACGATAACGATCCTACCATCTGGGCATAAAGCTATTCCGGATGGTCTGTCCATTTCATTGTCATCTTTACCATAATTACCGAATCGCCATTGTAACGTTCCAGTCGAATCAAATATTTGTATACGATGGTTTCTAGAATCGGCTACAATTATATTGCCTTCGTCATCGATCACCAGACCTTGCGGTCTTAGGAACTGTTTCGGAGCACCTGGACTTTCGCATTCTAATACCCGAGCATGCACGAAGTCGGAATCAACTATTTTTCAACGTTTGTATAAAATCTTTCTCCCAATCATTCCGTCATCTCACTCATTCAACCACAACCAATGAACAGATCATTTTAAATAAGAAGAACTCGATTATTGCCGAAATCAACGATAACGATCCTACCATCTGGGCATAAAGCTATTCCGGATGGTCTGTCCATTTCATTGTCATCTTTACCATAATTACCGAATCGCCATTGTAACGTTCCAGTCGAATCAAATATTTGTATACGATGGTTTCTAGAATCGGCTACAATTATATTGCCTTCGTCATCGATCACCAGACCTTGCGGTCTTAGGAACTGTTTCGGAGCACCTGGACTTTCGCATTCTAATACCCGAGCATGCACGAAGTCGGAATCAATTATCACTAGTCTATGATTATTAAAATCCGTGGTGACGACGTTGCCATCAGGATTGAACGCCACTCCGCGTGGCGAGTCGAAGTGTTTCCACATGTTCGGGGCGGATTCGTAGCCGTATTTACGAAGAAAAACACCTTCGGGACTGAATAATTGGACGCGATGGTTTCTTGTGTCAGATACGACTATCTGGCATTCGGAGTTCGCCGCCACATCCCAAGGATAATTGAATTGGCCGGCACGACAGCCTTTTTCGCCGAAACATAAAAGAAATAGGCCTTCCATCGTCAACACCTGGAAAGTAACGAGGAAATGGTGTAAATTTCGAAGATAACAAGAAAGGTAAATTTTGAAGGTAACAAGAATTTAATAAAATAAATTTAAATTAATTTTGATCTAAAAAGATTAAGAAGCAGATGTTGTCTAGATGGAAGGCAAGGTTTTGACAAGATGGAAACTGAGGTAGCAATAAATAAGAAACCAATATAAATTAATAGAGATTTCTTTAATGTTGCTGAATTGATTTTTTTTTCATTAATAAGTTACAATTTTCATATTGGAAAATAATAAGTAATAGTACTTAAATCAAACGGACAAAATATTTTTTTTAAAAACATGATTAAAAAAATTACTAAAAAAGTATTAAATAACAATAAAACATAAATATAATTAAAACATTTTGATACGAATATATTTATAAGTTTGTCTAACTTATAATAATGATAGTCAAGTTTTAAAAGAAAAAAAATAAGAGAATAATTGCGGATTGAACAATTATTATTGCTGTGATTCATCAATTACCTGTATACGATGGTTATCCTTGTCTGCCACGACTATTCGACGCCGGGCATCAACCGCTACGCCGGCAGGACGATCAAATTGTCCTGGTGCGGTACCATGTGTACCGAATCTTCTTAAGAAGGAACCATCTTGGAAATAGATCTGTATTCGATTGTTCGATCTATCCGCAACAATAATATGCCCCTCTCTATCACACGCAATGCCCCAGGGGCGGCACAGATTATCTTGGGCATCGCCGTCATTCCCAATTATTCTCAGCGGAGTCACGGACGATTGGGAATTGCGATCCATCCTGACTACGACTGGATAACTATTCGAAGGAATTGGTCTCCCTCTAGGTACTGGAGCGCTGGCTATTTGTCTAAGGAACAATTGAGGCGAATTTCCACGGCCTCTTACAGGGCGCCGATCTCCTATGGGGCCTGGATTATTTACTGCTACAGCGCCAAGATTTGCGATAGCATTCATTATAGTACCCTCTAAACCATTGAACGAGATCCAATTTTCTTCTTGCGAGGGTAGCGATTGTTGACTTTGGTGAATACGAAATATCTGTATTTGATGAAGATGAATTAGTATACCGTAAATAATTATAAAATACTGTATGTATATTGTTAAGAATTAAATCAAAGAATGTAAAGAATAGTAAAACAAAATTTATGTTACATTTACGAAATTTATAATATTAGTAATATTAAGTATTACTATTTAAAAAATTCATTAATTAATCTATTAAATAATAGTTTAATCTGTAATTAAAAAATATTTAGTTTTAAATTTAAATAAACTTGAATAAAATAAATAAAATAGAATCTTACATTATTTAGAAAATTTATAATAGAAAAACTAAAAAAGAATAATCTATTAATTAATATATATTGTCTATACTAAATATGTACTAACCTCTAACTCTTTCACTACAGCTACAACAGCCATATGGAAATTCTAAAAGCACAAGTTATGTAAGAACAAATAAAATGTCGTCTTTATCAAATAAAATTTGAAACTTAGAAATTTAGATTACTTAAAATAACATATACATAATTTCATTTATTATCTATTACTATTTTTAAAATTGAAGAAGAATTCTTCACAAATTTCTTCTAATTTTTACTACTTCTATTATCTATTATTTCCTTCTATTTTTATTTATCTTTTTGAATTAATTCATTCATCTGTTTTGTTATTTTTTTTCCCCAAATGATTGCAAAATAATATAATATACATACAATCAATCAATCAGAAAAATATATCTTACACGAATTCAATTAGCAGTTGTGTTATTGATATCAATGAAAATTCTTTTCTTTTCAAGGAAACTTTTCTCTTTGAATGAAATTGAATTTTATGGATATATAAAAGATTAGTATGTATATAATAGATAATAATGCAGAATAAAGTAAAATTTTAGATAAAATATTCAAGTTTCAATCCCGTGTTCAAGCTCTATCATCCTGTGAAGAAAAAAATATTTTCAAATTACATTCAAAAAATGCATGAAAAAATAAAGATTCAATTTCATCAAGAGATTTTTCTCATAAAATATGCTTATATATACACACAAGATTTTATTAAAATTAGAAAAGAATTTTCTTTTAAGAGTGTAAAGATAATCGTAATTAATCATACGTATATATAAAATAATTATTATAATATAAAAAGTATTTATCAATTTATTGTATAATTAATTACGAATCTAAAATAATATATCATGAATCATATTGTGTAACATTCCAACTTGTTCTGAAAAGATAAGCATCAATCAGAAATGATCACCATTATAATATAGTCTTAATAATTAATAAGAAAAAAATTCCATATTCCTAAAAATTGAGCAAAAAAAACATGATATGCATATATTAATTTCAAGATGTGAGAAAACGACATTTCATATGCACTAATTTAATTGTTATAATTGACATTAATGAATACCAATTTTAAATCATCGATAAAATATTAGTAGTGAAAAAGTTAATGGTTTTTACTAATTCATTTCTTTTCAAAAATAGTCTGATGAACAATATTGAAAAAATGTTGTTGATAAAATGTTTGTTATTGGAAAAATTATTTTATATAGGAATATCGATTAACCATTAACTAATATATTTGATTTGATTAATAAATACCTCTGCTGAAGCCATATCTTTAGTGAGGAATAAATTCAATGGATTACTGGCCAAAATTTTCGATTCCATTGCTTCGGTAAGTTTATCAGCAGCCCTTGTCAATCGAGATATTCCAATCCTAATACCCTCGTCTCTTGCTTTTAGCGCGCTAAATTTGATAAGTTTAGCTTTTTCAATTCTACCTAACAATTCTTTTTCTCTCGCCTCTAACGCAGAAGCTACTCTTCTGACACATAGCATCACATCTGCAGCTGCCTGTCTTGCTTTTTGTTCCAATATTTCTGCAGCTATCTGTAAAAGTAAAAAATTTCAAAATTTATAGATACGAATATAGAAATTATTTTGTAATATTCAATAAACATTTCTCAAACATTCTAATCTTTTTTTATAACGTGTATCATAAATAAATTTTCAAAGCAATAATATTACGAAAATAATAATTAATAGGAACTTACTTGAATAGCATCTAACTCTTCCCTGAGTATTGTTATTCCAAGTCTAGCTTCTTTTAATACTTGATTCGCTTGAATTCCAGCACCTTCTATAGCATCCATCAAATTTATAGTGACATGTACATGATGGAAATGAAATTCACAATCAACGCAAAAAGGTTTGCTACAAGTTTGGCAATAAAATTTTTGGCCATCACGATGAAGATCGCAGTAAAATGGTAATCTTGGAGGAATCATACTTGGTACATTCATTATTGGACTCGATATTTCCGGTGTATTATTATAATTATATTCATTTTCTTGATTTAATTCCGGAGGATTCTATTAAAAAAAAAAGATTGTTGAATTCAATTAATTACAATTCAATTACAATAAATTTAATTTGAATATCTTTTAATGATCAATGATATAATTTAACAATAATTGTGGATTATTTTAAAATAGTTAAAAATTAAATAGTATCAGAAAAAAATTTTAAACCATTTTAAAAATAAGTGTTAGTTTTATTCAGATTTTTTACATATTAATAAAAATATTAATAAATAAAAATATACTCACCAAAATTCGATTAGAACATGAATTACAAAGTGTGTCAGTACAATCACTACATCTATTGTTAGTTGGCATTCCATTTTGCGACAATTGAATGGCGTTACAAGAATTTGGTACATTAAAAGTATCACTGTTTACAACTTGTAATAGTGTATTAATTAATGAGTCTACGTTAAAATTTTCTGGAGATTGACTGCAACATTGAGAGTTACTACTGCTTCCGGAGGAAGTGTCTGGTGAACTTGCATTAGAATAACCAGATTTAGCGAACGACTGATATTGATTGTTCGCCTAAAATAAATTAAATTATAATGTAAATTTAATAAATCTTATTATTTAAAAAATAATAAAGTATAAATAAGATTTGTACCTGTTGTTGATCTGCGTTCGCATCTTGTTCCCTTTCTGGCGTAGCATAATTTCCAAAGAAATTCATTCCCTGATTATAATTTTGGCTATTATTCATTGTAAAGTGTGTAATTAAAAGCCGTACAGAAATTCGATGTTGAGATGTCTCGTTGTGATACTTTCACCTAAAACAAAAATTTAAATTATCAATATGATAAAGTTTACTTAATTTAACTCTATTTTCTTCAAATTTAGCTATCTATTTTAGATAGAATTCTAATTACAAAATTCATAATACTAAGAATATTTATTATTTTTAAAGATATAAAGCTTTATAAAAAAATTAAATCATATTAAATCGTAAAAATTATTATTCTATAAAATAAATTGACTTTTCACTATTTTATTATTTTATTTTACAAAATGAATGAGTACAAAATTATTAGTTATAAATTAATAGTTATTTATAGTATAATTTTATTAAATTAATTTGCAATAAAAAAAATTTAATATAATTGATATTATATCAATTTTAAATGATTTAAAATAATTTTTAATTTATATTATTTCATTTTTCTCTGAAATGTTTACTTTGCAATTTTTGAAAATTATATAACACGAAAAATTAGATAGAAATTTTGTAACTTATTATGAAAAAATTATTTTTTATTATTTACTTTTTATCAAATTGATAACCATAATTTTATAATTTATTATATTACTATCTAATAATTAATCATTTTTATCCTACTTCAAGAAACTTTCATATCACTATTATGAAAGTACGTTACCCTCAATACATCCCCCAAAGGTAACCGAACTCTGTCTTACATATACATATATATTTCTATACTCACTCACCAAATAATTCAAAAAAATCAATAAGATCATAAAAATAAATCTACAAAATCCTAACATTAATAATATACAAATTACATACAATGATTTTCACATTGTTCCTATAAAAATTATAAATATTTCTATAAATATTTTCCTCTTAAAATTATACAATATAGCTATTATATATAAATTTCAATTTTTTAAAAATCATAAAATCTATAAATTATAAATAAGTATAAGAAAAAATATTAAACACGTTACAATGTTATAAATTACGAACTTAAATCAAAACCATTCATAAGAGAGTCAACGGAAAAGTATTTTGAATCGTACGGATGTCCCCTTGTTCCAGTTTCAAAGACGGAACACCCCTGCACAGCTGGTTCAAGGTCATCATACAAGTCGTGAACAGGGAAGAACTGTGATACCCTTTTCAGTTCAGGGATCGAGAAATGGGGTCCCGCTTCCATTGGTGGGACCTCGCAGAAATCAATAACAGTAGGAAATTCGATGTAAGTATACACACGTATCATGTACTATATTTCTAAATGAATGTTTCAATCTGCTTCTAATCGTAACATTCTTCATCCGTTCGAGTAATAGTTGCTTGAATATCGAGACTTCTATAGGAGAGAAAGAATTTTGTTTCAATAAAAATTTATAACCTTGCAATTTTTATCGATCTTTTAGGAAAGTATATAAAAATAATTCTATATATGATTATATATAGTCAATATTTTATTGTCGTTGAAGTGAAGCAAGTGATATAAAAAAGAAATTTTACACAATTTTTGCGTGTCCCATAGTTTACCTACTCAAGGATAGACCGCCAACTTAAAAGAAAATTAAAATATATAATTTACTCTTGTTTCAGTTTTAAAAATTAGTATTAAAATTTCTTGAAACATATACTATTTTTTTATATATAACTTAATTCAACATAAATAATTATTAAAATATTGTAAAAGAATTACTTTTATTATCATAAAACTAATAATTAAATTCTAAAATATTAATTTATAATAAAGATTATTAGAAAGAAATAATTATAATAAAGAGTAATTTATAATAAAAAAAATTTATAATAAAAAATAATTATAATAAAAAATAAAAAATATAATTCATTTAAATTGCATTTAAAAATTTATTTAATTTTTATTTTAAATTTATATAGTGAGAAGAAATCTTTAATGAGATGTAATAATATCGTTTAAGAATTTAACATACATGAGTGTTTCCAGTTTTTTAATTTAACGTGCATTTCAAATCCGATATTAATCTGGAAGGGAAATGACTCGTGTTGCCTTCATAAATGTGAAATCTCATATAACGAACTCAATACTGACTGTGTGAATGAAACTTCACCGCTTGATAGAACTTTATTAATTAGTTTTCAATTGTATATCTGTTTTCTTATTATATACCTATAAGATTCATTAATTGTTACATTATTTTTTCATCAAATATATATATAATATAATATTATATTATTTAATCAAAGTATAATCAAAGTATATTTTGGAAAATATGTTAGATATAATGTGCATTTATTATTATAATTATAATTTAAAAACTTATTAATACATATTGCGTACATTTATACATATTTATTTTAAATTATATTTTTAAATTTTTCACATAATGTAAATACATCGATAGATTTTTCTTTTTAATTATTTAAAATTTATATTTATTCTACAATTGGAACAAAATTAAATATTTGATATAAAAGTCAATATTTTGTTTTAATATATAATTTGATTTTGAAATTATAATAATAACTTAATTAATCAAAAATGTAAATTACTATGCAAATGGGATAGATATATATGCACGTGTGTATTTATATATTAAATATATTTACATATCATATATGTAAAAAATTAGATTTATTAAAATTTTTTCAATATTTTAGTTGAATATCAGAATAAATTTTTATTGCATTTCATTCATTTTTCATTTTAATTAAATTATTAATTATTAAATGTTTCGCAGAAAAAAGATCAATCACTTTTAAATATTAATGATTTATTAATAACTTACTCAATAATTTATATAAAATTTGAATAAACAATAAAATGTATAATAATTTGAAAAGGTTATTAATATGCAAATATCTTTATTATTTTACATTAAAAAAAATAAAAGAATATTGCAAAAAATAATAAAAATTATTTTGGTATATATAAAAAGTTTGGTTAAAAAAATAAAAAAATTTTTTATTCTGAATATATTAATAAATATTTAAAATTAAGTAGAGAATAAGAGAAAAAATTATTTTTATCTCGTTAATGAATTAAAAAAATATTTTTGGAAATTCAATTTTCAAAGTTTTAAATTGATTAATCTTTAGATTATCATTATATACAATATTTTATCTCATCAATAAATTATAATTAAAATTAAAAAATTATAATTATAATTATAATTAAAAAAATAACATGTATAACATAAATAAAAATATTTTTAGATAAAATAAAAAAATTTCAAAAAATAGAAAGAAATAGAGAAGAATTGCATAGTTTAAAAATAATCACATGTTATATCAACATCAGTATATAAATATATATTTAATTATTACATTAGCTAATACTATATGAACAAAAATTTAAAAATATATATCTAAATATAAAAAAAAAGAATTAGTAATGAACTAGATATAAAAATAATACATTAATGATAGAAAAAAATAAATTTAAGATAAATGATATTATTGAATATTATATATAAATGATATTTTTTTAAACTATAATACGATTAATTTGAAATTTTGATGCAATATTAAAAATAATGTAAGTTTCTTGAAATTAATAATTCGAAACTATTATTTTTATTAACTGTAATGAAATATTTATATATTTAAATTTGAAAGATATTTTAAATACACGAAGTTCTTATGTAAATAAATTTTTTTCTTCCAATAACAATATCCAATAACAAAATTTTAATTTCAATTATTTATATTTATATAATATTATGAAAACTAAATGTTAAATACAGAAATTTAAATTAAATTTTTTTTATTAATAAATGAAAATATTATATGACCTATATATGTTCTAATGTTTGTATAATTAAATAGTTATACTGAAATCGGATCTATCATTAAACTATTGTAACTAATATGAACTGTTGTAAATAATATCGAATAAACAAATATCTTCGTTAAATTTTTTCATTACACTTTAAATTTTAATTAGAGATTCAAAATATGAAGGTAAAAATAATAAATAATATTTATAAAAAATTAATATATAATAAATAAATATACACATAATAATGAAAATAAAAATTAATATATTAAAATAATATAGAAAGAAATTATTTTAAAATAATAATGATGTTATAACATTTATAATATTAAAAGTAAAATCATTTACCCTAAGCCTGCACAAATTTATCAACGTCCAAATGTCGGTTGGATCTTGTTCACTGTAACTATAGTATAGTAAGAATCACGGTTGGGTTTCCTACAATGGGATAGAGGCGTCTGTCTTTACAGGCAGTTTCGAACAAAAATGCTACACATTGGCCTGCAAACTTTTCCTTTTTCCGTTTTTCCAGCAGCTGGCCTGCAGCAGTTAGAGGGTGCTATCCTTGAAATCGCCATGGCGACCAAGGTTAGACCTGCTATTCTTTCCGAGGGTCAAAAAGAAAGAGAAAGTGAAGTATCTGTCATCTACCAATAATGTCTAACGTCTAGAAAAATCCTGAGGAAAAGCAGATAAGCAGCTGCTTGTCGCTATACCAAGAATTTGAAAAATTTGTTTATGTAAGATTTGAATTTTAAACTGATATTTGAAACAATATAAAGAAAAGAAAATAGAAACAAGATTACCAAAATATTTTCTATTTGGGCTATTAAAAATATATGTATAGGGTGTTTATTTTATGGAAAATATATCTATGAAAATATTTTATTTTTCTTATTTCGTGCCATTAACTTTTTTTCTTTCAATTTTAATTCTAAATATAATTTTATTATTTGTTAATAAAACCATCTTATGAACATGTATTATTTATTTTTAATAATTAATAATGAAAATATAAAAATATAAAAAATTTGTTTTTGTGAAATTTTAACTTTTAATTTTAATTTTAAACTTATATTCCTATTTTTTATTTTATTACAATTTTCTATACGCATCGTATAGAAATTCTAGAAATGCTTAGAATATAGCAAAAAGTAACTATAGATATAGATAAGATTTATCTACATAAATTCCGTATTTTCGGGTTTTGTTTAAGCAAGTATATATTAAACATAATCCAATTTATAAATTTTTATTTAATAAAAAATATTATTCTCAATATACATTAAAAATTAAAATAAAAAATAAAATACGAATATATCGAAAAATTCAGTAAAAAAGAAATTTAATATTTAAATAAAGAAAAACTTATGGACATGCGCATTTATGAAATATTGTACGAGTATATATACACAATTAAAATAAAAATTTTATACAATTTCAAAATTTACCAAATTTTCAAGAATTTTTTATTGTATAAAATTTTGATGTTTATACTTAAACATATAATTTTATTTTATCTAAAAAATAAAAATTTAATAAATTTTAATAATTTTAAAAATTCAATTTATCTTCGACTTTTCTTCAAATAATATTATAGAAAGTCATTTATAGATTATGTTTAGGTACTTTAAAATAAATAAATTGGATATATATAAAATTGAAATATTCGATCAAAAAAAAAAAAAATTAACGGTTAAATATTAGAAAGAAAATATCTACATAAATCGAGTGGCGTACTTGATGAACCGACGAAATAAACAAACTTTCCAAATTTCGTCGGGCAACGCCGTCGTAGATACTTTCCCTCTCGTTCGAATTTCAATGTCGTCCGAAAAGAACACTTTACGACACAAATATACAAGAATGTAAACGAATACATGGTTTCGAATCGAGTGACAAGCGACCCACGATCTGCCTAATTATCGTCCTTTGTCGTTCTATTTTAGCTATCATAATATTTATAACAATACGTTTAAACTGACCGGGAATCAAGAAATCGATGAGATCGTTTTCACTTTCGTTTCATTGCGATCGTACGCTTTCTCATTTATTTTCAGCTATAGAGTGTATATCGTATTCATTTTATCTCATTTAATGATCCAAAAAATATATATATATAAAAACAAAACGAAAAAGAAAGAAAATTATAATATAATAATAATAGAAAAATATATATATATGATATAAAATATAAATACCTTTGATACGATGAAACTTTCTACAAGATGTGCCGTTAACTTGATCAGGAAAGCACCAATTGATTCTGGTATCGAATTTACAAAAAGGGAAAAAAAAAATGGAGAGCACGTGTTACGTAGACAAAATAAATTAATTTTTTGAAAAATTGTCCACTCGTTACATACCAATCAAATTCACGTATCGGAATTCGATTAGATGTGTAGAAGCACTAAAGATATTATAGTTGGACGTGCTACTACACACGTGCTCTCCAAGATGGTAAACGAAATTGCTTAGAACGCGTCAAACTACTGATCCCTTGAAATTTAACCATCCAACTGAATCCCGTTTCAAACTCGAATCCCCAAGCACCCTTTGCCCCTCTCCATCGCATCCTCTGCCGCCCCGCTCAGCCCCCGGCCGCTGGGTTTCGCCAGGCAAGCGAGCTTTCCTCGACCAATCGAGGGAATGCATTTTTACCCCCCAGATTCGAATTGGTGATTCACACCCCCGCGCACTATACTTTCCACGTTCGAATACGACCGATACACAAGAGTTTTCCTCCATTCTACCTACACTTTCTCCCTACCACCCCTTCTTTCTACTTTCACCCGATTTCACCCGAACGTCTCTGCATTGAACAATTCGTGGACACAGGCAACTTTTAGGACAATTCACAATGTGTCGAATTCACAGAATGAATAATTATCATTATGGTGATAATTATTTTTATCGAAATTTCTATATTGAATAATATGTAGAGGTAGATATGATATAGGGTAACTCACTGATTACGATAAAGCAAATTTTAATAATTCCACGAGATGAATAACATTGTGAAAATTTGTAAATTGATTTCATTTAGAATTAGAAATAGATCGGCGTCGTGGTTCCTTCCGGTGTCAACGTGACTACGCGGAAGTACTAGCGCGCAACAATATGTATCCATATGCAATGAGGATTGAGATCCAGTCGAACGTGTTATTCACCAGGTGCGGAATAAATGAATGAGCAAACAACGAGGAAGAATAAAATCCAGTTTCCTCCCTATGGATGATTCTAACGCGAGAATGATATATGTACTCGTGTATGAACGAGATATGAAGGAAAAGTTAGGAGCACTATCACCAAAGCATGATCACTTATTCATATGGTTTATAATAACGATCACACTCGTGTATTATACGTACATACATTGGTAGATCCGTTATTCCCTGATGCGTTTTCTCTTACGAGGGATGAAACTTATCCCCGTGCCGGCATTCCAGGAACGAGGATAGATCGTAGGCCACCTTTCTTCACAGCGTACGTGTGCATGCAGCTACCGTAATCCAGTAGCTACATAGTGGGCAGAGTTTTCCATGTTAAGGGGTGTAAGGGCGCGTGCGCCGCGAAATCATGAATGGAACCCACCGCTCAATGCGAGAGGAGTCCAGCTACACAGTCACTCTACTTTTATTTATATCCCTCCAACGACGACCTTCAGCCAAGGTAGGGTTGATCAGACAAATCAGGTTCCCCGTTCTACGGAGAAACAGGTGTCACTACGATCGTTCACGATGATCTTGAGATAATCATTGTTCTGATTAAATGATGGAGTATGATTGTCATTAATGATTCATCTATGATTGATAGATGACTACAGAATCAAAGATTTAGATTATACTTGAATGACATCTCGTATAAATGATGTTTGGGATAAAAATAAAGGTAATAATTTGATAGTAAATAATAAATAATTTCTTATTGGAATACAAATCTTAGTCTATCTTTTACGAGAAGATTGATTCTAAGAGAAAAAGATTTGGTTGGTGAAAATGATTTCTTTGTTATATATTATATTATATTAGATTGAATATTTTTATCTTTTAAATGTTTTTGAAATTAAATAATAAAAAAGAAATTTAAAAGTTATTCTGCTATAAAGGTTGAAAAATTGATTATTATTTTGTAAATTGATTTTCGATATATATATAGATCAATGAGGATAATAAAAAAATTATAATTATAATTATATATTTTTAAAAAAGTACTACAAATCAGATTCATATAAAGATTCATATTTAAATTAATAAATCAGAAAATATGAAATCAAAAATTTAATTCAATCTATTATTTAATATAGTTATTTATAAGACGTAAAATTTTATTTATTTAGTAAATGAATGAATGATGAATGAAATGTTTACGATATGTTTTCATTTTCTTAATTTGATTTGTCCAGTGATGTCAAATTAACAGAATGATAAATTACTAGTATAATAAAGATACCAATAATTAAATTTAAATAATTAAATTTACAAATTTTTTCATGAAAATTAAAAAAATCAAAAAAATAATTCTCATTGTTCATATATAATAAAAATATTTGTAGAACTTGTTAAGTATTAAATTAATAATAGGTAAAAATTAATAAATATTGATATTTTATTCTTGTTCAAACAAATAAATAAATTTTGAATTTAGTAATTTTTTTTTAATACTCATGTCAATTATTAATTTATTTAAATAAAATAATAATAAGCCAAATAATCAATACAAAAACTATTTACAAACTATCATTAATAATGCTTAATAATACATACACAATAAATTTATAATTGATTTAAAATAATTCTAATTAATTTAAATTAATTAAAAAATAATAAATATCGTAATTCATTTATCTAATATAATATCTTAATTCAAAATAAAAAAACTCTTTTATGATTTCAAATTTGTACATCACATGTATTAATGTATGAAAAAATAAATGAAAATAGAGATATGAAAGTGATATGAGTGGAGAAATATTTCAAAAGGTTATTGCCACGATCGACTTACTCATTGATCGTGTTTTGCTTTTTAAAAACTTGCCATTAACAATAAGTACATATATTGTTTGACGTATGAAGAATTAGTGCAGCCTCAGATTTATGAATGAGTACTTTGGGCGTGAAGATCACGTGGCGGGGCGCTGTGGCGCTTTAACGATCGAGAACATCCTGCCCCCTCCCTTCCTTGAGCTTTATCACACACTCCCCTCCTTTCTCCCCTCCTTTGATATGATCAAGCTGTACAGGATGTATCATTTATAGGATCTGGGTCGAACCAGGATTCAAGGAATGTGAAATATATTAAAGTTGTCTTGTAAATGAAACATGATATTTCTTAAAATTTGTCATTGCATAATAAATAATTTCTGAAGAATTAAGAGAGAATATTTTTTGAATCAAATTGTAGAAAACATTAAATTCATATTATCTTATTTAGTTTTAATTATCTATAACATTTTTAAATCCATTTAAATGTAAGCAAAGTTATGAATATCATTATTTTCAATAATTGAAATGTTATTAAGTAGTTTTAAATTTTTTTTTAAATTTTTAAAAGCTTAGGATATAGAAAAAAGTAATAGAACGTTAAAATTTAGCGGCTTAATTAAAAAAAATTTACTACTTAAAATTTTACTAATTAAAAATTTTTTGTATCATTTATCAATTTTAAATTTTTATAAACTTCCTTATTTTTTTTAAATATAATATAATTCATATTATATCGTAGAATAACCGATGACGTCTTGGATGTCGTCATCGCATAATATCATTAATGGATGCGTATTATAGTCTCTTGTTGCAAAGGACACTCACACTTATAAATGTAAATAATAATTACAAAATAGTTAAAGATTAATTAATATATTATGGAATATATGAAAATATTTTAAATTAAATAAATATTATATAAAAAAAAGAATGATTATAAGTTTTTGCTATAAATTTTTTCTCTTGAACAATAGTAAGGAAAATATATTGTATAGTTGAAAAATTATATATTTATTGATTTATTTTATAATTCATTTTATAATTATTGATTTTAAATATAAAGAATAATTATTCAGATTAATTATCCTTATAAGATAGAAATTATTGAATAATTTTAATTAATTCTCATAATAATCCATAATCTTATTCATTTTTTTATAATTCTTCGATTAATCTCAAGCATCAAAAGAAGATTTGATCCAAATTTTTTAGTAAAGGATGCAGAACAATACGTGGGTGTATGTATGTAAGTACAGTATGGGTGTAGGTGTAAATGTGGGCGGGCTAGAGAAAAATGGATTGGCTCATTTTTTTTGACAAATATATGTATTCACAAACATTTAATTTCACAACAAAAGAATATAAAACTTATTGTATTAGTTCATATATTTAAACGAATCGCGGTTGATTCAAATTATAAGTATATAATAAAGCATAATTAATTTTTAATAAATTATTATATTTCAATATTATTAGAAATAAATTATATTTCTTTAAACATGAATAAACACACATACACTATAATAATATTGTTCATTTCTAATCGTATATATAAATAATGTTTAATTTTGAAAAATGCATAATATATGTATAACAAAGTTATAATAAATATATATATTATCTATATAATATAACTTAATAATAAGTTATAAGTTATAAATGTAGATTATCTAAAAAATTGTCGTAAAATATTGTATTTATTGATTAAAAAAGTAAAAATGAAAATCTCCATATAAATTTCAACATATACATATATATATATAGTGAACTTCTTTATCAATAAATGAATCATAATAAAATTCAATATTACAAATTTTTCTTTAAATACTGAACTTTCCATCAATAGATATCATTCTAAACCTCGATACAATGAAAAATATAATTTTTTGCTAATGATCAGCCATAACAAAATTCAATACTTCGATTTTTTTACGAGAAAAATTCAAAAAATTTCAGTTGACGAAACGTACAATGACATTTAATGCATTATGAAATTTGAAGGCGAGAAAAATCGAAAAGTTCTCGTGAATGGAGTAATTCGGTGAATTGAAACGGCATGTAGCGGTAGCTAAGTATACACATATATGTATATTCTCCACCCACGCTTTATGCGCGGGCGTCGCGACGAAGGCGTCGTAGCAGTTTCGCTCTTCCGATGACCTTGGAAGCACCCACGCGCCAAAAGAGACCACACTGTGCGGGGGTGGTTCGTTCATCGACGTTCCTGCCACTCTTCTCGATTTTCCTCCCCATTCTCTCTCTATGTATTTCCTATACGCAATATAGAACGCGCGTGCGCAACTCAAGCGCGTAAATGCAATAGTTTACGTTAAACTCATTATTTTCATTTATGTAAATATTTTATTATTTTTCTTCCTCTCAAATTTATTATTTCAAGTCTATTTGATAACATTTTCAAAAATTGAATTAATTAAATATCATGGTTGAAAAAACTAGAATCAGTTACAACTTTTCTATAAGAAAGAGATATTTAATATCTTGCAATAAAGATATTTGTTTTTATGAAAAGAATTCAATTATAAATTGTAAATTATAAATTGAATATAAAAAAGATTGTAAATTCTATAGTGTATAAAATTATATAGCAAAATATAAAAGTTAAAAAAAATAAGATACAAATTAAACAAATTTTTATAAATAAAAATTAAATATAATAAATTTTGTTATATATCTATTTATATTTATATTTATTATTACAATTAAAACTATTATATTGTACAATTAACACTATTTTGAAAATAAATATATTATTAAAAATATATATATAAATACAAAATTAAAAATTTATCATTTTATTACAATTTACAATATAAAATTTATAATAATTTATTTTTCTTTTTAAAAATAAGTTTAAAAGTAATTTTATGTAAAAATTATTTTAAGGAATAAGTGTACGCCATTGTAACAGCTAGGAAAGGAATAGTTTCTCTCGATGGCTTGTTTAATGGTTATCTACTGTCAGCCTGGCAATACAAAGAAAAAGGGCACAGTGGATGGTAATTCGGTAAGTGGTGGGGACAGGTACAAAGAGAGTTTGCTGATATTCGTAAACAGTTCTGAACTCATCCGTTAAGAAACGTTAGTTACTTACTGTATATCGTTTCCAACAACTATTTCAAAATTTTTTTTTAAATATTACAAAAAAATAAATATCATTCTTTCTTTTTCATGAATATTTTTCATAAATATTCATAATCAATCATTACGAATTTTTTTCTAAAAAAGATATTGAATAATATTATTTAAAAATTTAAAAATAATTTTGAATATTAATTAAAGATTTAATTTATATTTAATATTAAATAAATTAATAATAAAACTAAAAAAAGAAAAATATCAATTGTTATATTTCATTATATGATGAAAATAAAAAAAGGAATTTTATATGATAATATATGTTATATATATATTGTATATTTAAGAATTATTTTTTACTATGATTAAATTATATTATACTATGATTAAATTATAATTAAAAAAAAAATGAAAAATTATAAATATTTAATATAAAATAAATTTTTTTTCTATTAATAGAAGAAGAAAATAGTTTTACGAATTTCTCGCGAATTTATTATTAATAGATACAAAAACATTTTATTTAAAGAAAAAAGACCTTTGGTAGAATTTTTACAAAAACAAGACTTTCACTAGATGCAGATGTGGAACCTATTGTATTTAATGCTGGATGCATCTATGGCGTAGGACTAGAAATTCTTATTTTCGTAAATGCAATATGTCGAACTTCAAGAAAAAGATTTTTATAATTAGAAATATTATGATTTTATGACATTTCAATAATAAATATTAATATAAATGTTGAATTGTATATATAATAAATAATAACATTTGAATTATACATTGAATTTCAATTATGAATTTGAAATAAAATTATATTAATAAATATTTTTATTTATTATTAATTAATAAAATTTACATTATTAAATTCTATTTCAATTTTAATAAGATTATTAATATTAATAAGATTATTTCATCTAAATAAAAATATAACAAAACTAAAATGTCATCTTTTTTTTATCAAAAATATATGCAGAAAGAATAAAAATTTACATATTATATTATATTTACATATTTATAGCAATCGATTTATCATTCTGAATTGATCATTTTAATAATAATAAATATATATATATTTATATATATTTGTACAATTGATGTAATAATTATAATATAAAATTAAAACAAAAAAATTAAATTATGTATTAAAAAATTATTTAAAAAAAAATATTAAATGAAGAATTATCTAATCAATTTATCTAATTATGTAATTTTATTTGAAAAGATTTTACTATTATTTAAGCAACATATTATATGCTATGAAGTTATTTAGTTTTATGATTTGAATTGAATGTTGTGAGTTTTTCTTAAGACATTCTTCATTTAAACTTTCTTTATATCTGTACATCTTTGTTTCCTTTTTATACTTATCTCTTTGTAGCTAAAAAGAATTTTCCTGAAAATTCAACAAAAGATATGCTCAAAATTAATCTGTAAAATTTTTTTAAATAAAAATAAAATATGATTCCAAACATATTTTTTTCAAAAATACCATAAATCATTTAAATATTATATTTCATTATTATTTATTTTCATTCAAAAATATTAAAAAATAGTAATAAATTAAAAGTAATACTTAATTTTTTAAAAATTAATCTTGATATTACTAATTCATTATCTATTAATTTACTTTATATTATAGTTAAAATTAAATAATAATTAAACTATTCGAACTATAGTTAAAATTAGTTCTATTATAATTTCTATCACGTGATTAGATTTGTTTCTAGTGATTTGTCTCAAATAATCTAGTACATAACTAGTTGTTAGTGAAAATAAAATATCCCTATATGGAATATTGTTTATATCTTCTGATTAGTTAAATCAAGTTTTTGATGAAAAACATATTGAATAATGATAATAAAATAAAGTATATTAAAATAGTTTATTGAAAATTTATTAAATAATTATTAATTATATTAATTACAATCATAATATAATAATAATTTATTAAATAATTACTTTTATATATATTATAACATATATGATATATAAAAAAACAATTAATTTTAATGTTATTATATATTTTTTTTTAACTTATGTGTTATTTTTTTTATATAAAAAATAATATTGTTTTTAATAATATAATATAATACTATAAAGTATACTAGAGAATTAGAATAGAATGTTAATATTTGTTTAAATTTTTCATTAATGTTTAATTGTTATTGTTATTAAAATGATATTATTTTTTAAAAAAATATTTTGTAAATACGTAAATTTATGATAAATTTATGGTAAATTTATTATTTATGATAAATAATAAATAATTGGACAAATTACATATAAAATAATAATTTTAATATATTTTATGCAATTTAATATATTTAAAAAAATATAAATATTTAAAAAATATATAGATAAGAATATAAAATTAATATTCTAAAAATAATATTCTATATTATTATTCATGGAATGAATTTTAAAATTATGGAAACAACTGGAGAATTTATTTTAAAAATGGTAAATTTTAAAGCTCATATTTAATATTTATTAATAAATTTTCATTTTTATATAAAAAAATTATAAAATGATATTATATTTTAGACAGAATCATTGACAGTAGAAGAATCATTAAATTTACAAGATGTAAATATAAAAGTTTCACAGGATTCTGAAAAGGATAAAATTATATCAGATGAAATAAAAGAAAATATACAAAAGACATCAGAAGTGAATGAGAATTACAATGAAAACTTGTTAGACATAATGAATGAAGATAAAGTTGTAAAAAAAAAAATAACTGAAGTACAAAATAATGAAAATTTATTAGATGTAATACAGGAAAATGAATCTGTAAAAGAAAAAATATTAGAAATACAAAACAATGAAAATTTATTAAATATAGTACAAGAAAATGAATCTATACAAAAAAAAATATCAGAAATTCAAAACAATGTAAAATCAATCAATATAGAACATGAAAGTAAAGTGATGAAAGATAAAGAAATGACACACTCAATTCAATTTTATTGTAATTGGAATAATTCTCCAAGATTATTATGCGAAGCAACTGAGGAATATCAGTCAACAGAATCACGTGAAAATTTTACAAAAGGTTGTCAGTGGTCTCCGGATGGAACATGTTTATTAGTACCTTCTGAAGATTTTAGAATTCGAATTTATGAGCTTCCTAGAGAATTTTATTCTGAGAAATTCCTTTAAATTTGTTATCCAAAAAATTTTCAGCAGCATTAACAGTAAAAGAAGGAGGACTTATATATGATACTTGTTGGTATCCTTTTATGAATTCATGGGAACCTGCAACTTGTTGTTTTTTAAGTACAAGTAGAGAAAGTCCTATACACTTATGGGATGCATTTAATGGTGAATTACGAGCAACATATCGTGCTTATAATCAGTTAGTAATATAAATATATATTAATAACATTAAATTATGTATGTTATAATATTATAAATTATTATATTCTATTTTATTATAGAGTTGATGAAGTAGAAGCTGCACTTAGTATTCAATTTATTGATTCTGCCAAGGAATATGGGCTGGCTTTAAAAATACCTTAAGAATTTTTGATGTAGAACAACCAGGTCGTCAAATAAATACTATTCAATTTAAAAAAGATTTTCCAAATGTAATAGGATTAGTTTCTTGTATTCGAGAAAATCCAATTATGCCAAGATTAGTTGCTTTTGGTACTTATTCTAAGTATATTGGTAAGTACATAATAAATAATATAATATAAATAATAATATATAATAAATAATATATAACTATGAAAATAATGATAATATTAAAATATTAATAATTGTGTTTATTTTATCAGGTTTATATAAAGATGGTCCATTATGTACTTTTAAGACAGGAAATGGTGTAACTCAAATTGAATTTAGTCCATGTGGAACAAAATTATTTTCAGTAGTTAGACGTAGTAATGAATTTTTATGCTGGGATCTTCGTAATCCTGGTATTGTGCTCTATTCTCTTGAAGGACGTCAGTCTGACACAAATCAAAGAATTCAATTTGATATTAAATCTAATGGAAAGGAAATAGTCTCAGGTATGTATAAATAATTATTAAATATATTATATTGTTGAAAATATGATTACTTATTATTTTTAATTGTTTAGGTAGTACAAATGGAGATGTTATAGTTTGGGAATTATCAGATTGTGAAAATCTTAATGCAAGATATAAAATAAAATTATCTTGTGATTGTATAAATGGAATTAATTTACATAAAAATTTACCATTAGTTGCTACTAGTACAGGCCAAAGAATATATGATAGTACAATACAAAATAGAGATAATAGTGTTCGATTATGGTCATTTTTTTAATTGAATCATATAATAAATTATTGTAAATAAAAATCTAATTATTATTTTATAAGAGAAATTTATAAATAAATTAATAATTTTAATAATCATTTTTTATAATTCAATATACATATACAATATTAAAAGGCTCTTTTGAAATAAGTTTTGATTATAGACATCAAAATAAAATTTAATATGCAAAAATATCTATTTTATATGTTTGTCATTTAATTTTGTATGAAATAAAAGTTCTTTTAAACAGAAGTTTTTTTTAAAAAGAATGGACTTATTTTATATATAAAATGAAAAACTTTTAATTTTTATATTTAATTTATTGTATATTAAGATATTATCATTATATATTAAGATATTATTATAAAAATGTCTTTTTATTTTTTACTTTATACATTTAATACAGTATAAATATTATTATATTCTCTTTAAATATTTCATTGAAAAATTCACTTATATAAAATTAGATATTATGGTAGTAATATCGTAATATTTATATCAATCAAACAAAATTAAATTAATTATATTTCGAAAAATAAATTCGAAATTTTGCATATTTTTTTCTAAAATCAATTATTTAAAGATATTTTACATATTTCTTAATATATATAATATAAATATTTTGATATAACACATTTTGATATATTAATGAATTATATAAAAATAAAAAAGTCAATAACATGATTAATATATAAAATATATTTCTAATAAAAATGATATTTTTTTACATCTTATATATTTTATATTTTTTTATAATATAAGTTTTTTTTATTTTATGAATAGATTAATATATTATTTATTAATTTAATACAAAAATAAGAAATTTATTAAAATTTTAAATAACAATATATATTTATAAATAATCTATTATTAATCACATTAAAAAAATGATTAAAAAATATTTAAAATATTATTAATGATTAAAATATTATTATAAACTCAATATAATTCTTGATTATTTAAAGAATAAATTAAATTTGGAATGTATAATTTTATTTTATAAATATTTTATTTATATAATACATTTTTGATATATATATATATAAATATTTAAATTTAATTTTATTATTTCAAATTTTTTATTGACATTTAATTTAATTAATCTTAATTTATCGATATTATTAATATATTATGGATAATTATGTATATTTATAATACATATACGTAATATAAAGTACATATCAAAAAGATATTCCCGCGTTTTATAATTTCATAATTATTATTAGATTAATTAATAGATAATTTATTAACAATCAAATTTTTTGTAATATTTTAAAAATATTTTTAATTTATATATATATTATAATAATAAATAATTATAATTATTTAAAAAATATTTTTAATTAATACAATAATATATAATTCATCTAAATGAAAAATCTATCATAGAAGAAAAATACTTACAATAAAAATATCTTGGTATAACTTTTAAAATTAATTTATATTGAAAAAATATAAAAATAGACATAATAACAATAATTTAAATATACATATACACTAGAAAACTTTTTTATTTTTATAATAATACATTTTTGATAAAAAATATAAATTAATACTCTAAAAGTATTTTTTATAAATACGATGTTAATTAAATTTTAAATAATTTTTTATTTCATAATTTATCTTTACTAAGTTAATGTAACTAAATTTTTAAAAAATTAACTAAATTTTTAAAAAACTATTTAATAATATCATTTATATGAATAAAAAATTATATTTCTAAACAAATTTAAATAAATAAATACATAGTTTATTCTTCATTTTATATATTAAAATGTACATCATTAGTCACAGTATAGTCACAATCAAGTAGTAAACTTCAATTCAGCATTGAAATAATATATAATAGAAGTATATGTTTTAAAAGATAAACAGTTTATATTAATATATATTTTTCGAATTATATCATGTAACAAATGAAGTATATCTATAATTAAATTATGTGATAAACTAAATATGAGAAAATAAATATTTTTATTTTTATAATTAATATAATTATTTAATTAATAATTTTATAAATTCATTGAAAACGGTATCTGAAGTTATATATGTACTTTGCAAACTCGCCGGGAATGTAAAACGTTAAACTGTTATATGATTATACTTCCAGTTGTATGTATCTCTTTTTAAAACAAACTCACTTTTGTTGCTTGCGTTGTGATATCTTGGCGGCAATAGAAAGGAGAGAGGGAAAAGAAGGTAGGAGAAAGGTAAAAGTAAACAGTGAAATGAAGAAAGAATTAAAGTAGAAGGTGTGTACGAATATTTGCTATGTATTAATGCGTGCTAATACTTAATTATTGTTACTACAACCTGTTTTCTCGGCTGTTTGTAGGAGGATAATTTTTAAAGATATTAAAACGTCTGTAAAAGACAATTCCCAAAAGGAATCAGTAAACGATTCCATTTTAATGTTCATGTAAAATATTAATAGTAAGGTTGTTGAAGACCTTATTGTAAATTCAAGATTTTCGCAGAAATTTTCTTTGTAGACACATTTGTGATGTGATGAACGAGATTTTATTGATGTAATTCTTTGCAATACAAAGACTTGCAGAATGGCTTCTAATATGCAATCTTTCCCGCGAATGCTGAAAATGTTGCGGGAAAATAGCAATATCAAGGAAAAACGTGAAGCTTTAACCTATATTCGCAGGTACTATTGTTGATATTTTTGCTTATAAATCGATATATATATATATATATATGTGTGTGTATGTATATGTATATATGTACATAAATTATTTAATAAAAACTAGATGTTTCTATATTAAATTATGGATACTTTTCAAAATATTTTTTAATTACATTAATATTATTCTTTAATGATAAATATATTATTGATTTTTTTATAAGAAAAAATTTTACTTAAATTTTATAATAATTATGTTTTTTTAGTAACAGCAAAAAATTAGAATCTACACAAGTTATTAAAGAAGAACAATATAAAGAATTATGTAAACTAATTGTAGATGCATTTGCAAATGGAAATAATGACATTCAAAATGAAGCATATGAAACATTAAATGTAGTTATCCAAGAGTTTAAAGATCATACTTTGAATCTATTTGAAGCTATATCACAGATAAGTCGAAAACATAGGTTTGTTTATATAAAATATTTAAATATTACAATATTATTGATATTGATTAGATATAATTTTTTTATAAATTAATTTTTCATTTATAAATAAAATCAAAATAAATTATAAGATATTAGAAGATATTAAAATATTTATTAAAATATGTTTATTATATTTAGGTATATATTATTTTAAGATTATTTGTTAATGTTAAAATAACTTTTCATTATTATTTCTATAATATTTTTCATATTTTATTAATACTTTTATTGTAATTTCAGATTAAAAATTCTAAAATTATTAGAAGTAGTTGAAGAAAATGCTATATCAACATTTGTACATGATCCACATGCTGTAAATTTTTTTAATAATTGTATGTGTGCAGTACAAACAAATACAATGCCATGGATTGCACCAACTGCATGTGTAGATAATCTTCAAGCATTAATAGATGCTGAAAGTAAATTTTCAGATGACCAAAGATTAGAAGAAGAAACAGTTAATTATTGCATAACTTTTTTAAGAAGATTATATAAAATGGCTGCAGTAACATCAGATATTAAAGTTCAAAGGGTATATTAAAATAATATTTGTAATAATATAAAAATTTAAAAATATTAAATTAGATATTTTTACAGTTTAATGCAATATTAATAGATAAAGTAATGGTATTAGCTTATATGGGACATAAACGACAACGAGGTCCTGCTTTAAAACTTTTACAACAAGCTCTAACTGCAAATATATTACCACATGTTCGTACCAAACTAGCATCTGCATGGACTCGATATATAGAAGCAATACAGTCTACATACTGCAAACGTATGTTACTTTTAGTATCTGCATGTGAATTAGATTGGGCTACACAGTGGAATGTTAGCATCCAGTTCCTTGGTGTGGATCTTCACCGTGGTGCTGGTTTAATAAATAATTTATTAAGTGTAGAAGAAAAGGCATTTAAATCTACTGATACAATTATACGCAGGTATGTATAAATGATTATATAAAAAGTGATACTATACAAAAAAAATGAAAAATAATAAAATATTTTATACTTTTTCAGGCAAGCATTCCTTTCATGGAAATTATTGGTGGACAATTTTGCCTTAGACCCACATGAACTTGCTAGTGCTAGAAGAATAAAGTTGTTATGTATTCCATTAAATGCTAAAAATAGTAAGACTGAATTAATAGCATTGACAAAATTGGAGGTCTGGTGGCATGTGATCATTAAACTTTATAAAGATATTTCTAAATTTGTTAATCCTGTAATTACACAATTCCTAAACTTTTGTTTTGGACCTCTTGGAGATACACCATTATTATCTTCGAAATTTGACATAGTAGCTTCTCCAGGAAAAAGATTCTTTAAAACAAAAGTTGTTGCAGTAGATGCTTTATATCAATTTCTTGTTTCAAAGCAAGAAAATCATACTGCTCCAGTATTGGAAGAAAGACTTCCATATCCTATATCTGATGCTATTTTTCAAGAATGTTATAAAAGTATAATTCATAGTGTAGGAGAAGTTCTACTTGTTTTTAGTCAACTTACAGATGAAGAAATGAAAAACAGATATCAAGTTGGTAAAATATTATGGAAAAGTTTAGTCAATTATATACGCGAATCAAAATTGGAAGATAAGGTTAATTTAAATATTATTTGAAAGAATACTTCACTATTTAATATATATAAATGATAAACAATATTATTTTACAGTCTATTATGTACAAGGATATAACACTAGTTATTACAGAATTAACAAATTATGTTAAAAATAAACCAATGATTAGAAATTTAATTCTTGATACAATTTTATTTGAAATTGCTGATTTAAGTACAGATTTTAATTTTCAAGATGATACATTATCAAAGTTGGTATTTAAACTTATACAAATTCCAATTTTAAATGAAGCTAAAAAGTAAGTATTCATATAAAAATATTTCAGATTTTAATTACTAATATACTGTGATCTTAAATAAGAAAAAAATGTTATATAAATCTAGATTGTTAAAAACTTAATTTTATTTTGTTTATAATTAATTTTTTTATTTTCTTAATATAAAATTTTTTTTAAGGATCATTATAATGCATTAAAATGTCTTTTCTGGCAATGTATTAAATCTCAAAAGAAAAATATCTATTATTCACATGCATTTAATTGCTTAAAAGAAATGTATGAAAAATTACATGCACTATTAAATATAGCAAATAAAAATGAGTAAGTTTAAAATAGTTTAAAATAATAATTAATATCAATTATAAAATTAATTTTATTCTATATTTTTTTTAATTTTATTATAATTTTATTATATTTTTCAGATCTATCATTTTTGAATTATGGCTTATGTTAGGAGATGTGTTAGGAAAATATATGAGTGATATTCAAGAAATTAATGAAGGAAATACTACAGAACATAATTTAAAGACTGTTCAATCTATTGTAGTATTTCCATTTATATATATACATTTACAAGATCAAAAACAAGTTAGTTTTATTATGTTAAATAATTTCCAATTCTTAAATATTACGATAGATCTTTTAATTATGATAAATTTGAATAATAATAAATATATCTTTATTTTAATTTTTATTATCTTTATAACAGATTCAAGAATTGGCAAAAGCTTGGAAATATTTATATAAACATTTTGAAATGCGAACAGACCTTATAACAACTGTAAAATCTAACGAAATTTTATTAAATATTGCAAGTATTATGCAACATTCTATAACAAAAAACAAAGAATCTCCTTATCTTACTATACACTGTTTGGATATTTTATTAAGCACTATCAACTATAAGTTATTACTGGGTATGTCAATATTAATCAAAGAAATAATTATAATAAATATGTAAGATAATTTTTAATTTTCAGTGAATACAGAAATTCCATCTGTTATACATCTTATTGTGGATCTTGTATTATATTTTTTATCTGAAAAAGAAGCTAAAGAATGTGAACTTGCTCTTAAAGCAATGTCAGCTACAATTATTACTATTTATGGACATAATCCAGAAAAAATAACACCATATTTGCAAGTTTGTAAATCTGTAATTGAACTTATACTTCAGTCTGAATTAGAAATGTTAAACAAAGAAGTATGTATTCTTTTTATATTATTTTAATTGCATAACAAAAACATAATTAATTTTAAATATTTCACTTATAGATAGCAAATACATGGGAAAGTATAATTAGCATTTTTAAAGAACTTGGTAAAGTGATAAATTATGATCTTTTTTCATCTTATAAAAAACTTATTATTCAAGCTTTAAATCATTCAAATGTTGATATTCAAATTCAAACTGCATCTCTCTTTGAATCAAAAGATGTATTCAGTGATAGCATTAAATTATTGTTGGAAGAGATAGAAAAAGAAACAGGAAAAGAAGTATTAAATATACTAGAAATTACAAAAAAGGAACATGCTCAAATTGAGAAATTAAACCAAGTAAAAATAGTTGGTAGTTTTTTAAAAGGATCTAATAGTCCAAAGTTGATAGTTAAAGAATCAGATAAAAATATGGATAAAAATACAGAAAAGAAAATATCAATTGATTCTGATTCACAGGTATACATATATATAATTTTATATTTTTTATACATACATTTTCCCTATCCGCATAGTTCTTTATAGCATATAAGGCAATTTGATTATAAATATATTTTATAACTATATATCTATAACTAATTTAATATTTAATATTTTTCAATTGTAGGATTATGTCTTTATTAAAACAGATTTAAAATTTGATGTTAATCGTTTAACGGAACATCAAAAAGAGTCTTTAAAACGTAGAAGAGAAGATATACCAGCATTATATAATGATTTATCGCAATCTTCTTCACAAGATACTCAAAATTTGCAAGAATGGTTTGATAAAAAAAATAAAATTTTTGAAGAAACAGAAAAGGAACATAATAAAAAAGATAATATATCAATAAAAAATATCTTGGATGACGATGCAAATAAAGAAAACAAAATTGAAATACAAGAATTAGAAACAATTAATAAATCATTTATTGAAACTGATACAAAATCAATGGATAATGTTGAACGAAATATAACATTAGAATCTGTACAAAAGACAAAAGTTACTGTAGACAATAATGAAATTTTACTTATAGAAAAACCGGCAGTAGTAGAAAATGCTTATGACAATGCAGAAGCAAAAACTTCAGCAGATTTTGTATCGAAAAACTTAGATACTAATATCCAAGAAGAATTGTTAAAAAATAAAGATGACCAAAGACTATCTCCGTCTGTATTAGATAATAGTAAGCGGCGCAATCGTTTCAATATTACTGTAAAATCTACTTTGCCAAGATCGGAAGAAATTGTTAGTAATCAACCAGAACAATATTCAAGTACAACTGAAGTTTTGCAAAGAACGTTAAGGACAAAAATAATTCAAAGCAAGTCTGAAACAACCAATAAACAAAAAGCTTCGGAAAACATGGAAAATAAATCGACCAAAGAGGATAGAAAAGGTATTAAACGTAAATTGGATAACGAAAATGAAGGAACTAATCTGCGTCAACGGAAGAAATTGATGGATACGACTAGTGATGTTGATAGCTGTAAATCTTCAGAAAATGATAAAATTTCGATAGATGAAGCGAATTTGAGTCAACGTACCAGGAATGAGATATCTCGTTTACGTATAAATATGGTATTTGACAGTCCTTTATCAACTAGTCGTCGATCTAAGAGTCACGAAGATAATAATAAAGAATTCGTTGCTAAAAAATATTCAGTAGAAAGCAAAGGTGCTAAATTAAAGACTGGAGACATAAAAGTAAGTGACATGAGGAAAACTCAAAAACTTAATGACAAAGAATTAAAAGTTAAGGCCAGACCAGGAAGAAAAAGATCTGATGAAAAATATTTAATAAAAAAGGATAAAAAAAATGAATCGGAAGAGCAAAAAAAAGCGGAAGAAAAGAAAAAAGAAGAAATTAAATATGTAGAAGTTATTTCCAAAAATACAACGGATAATAAATGCGATTCATTTGATATCGAAAAATCTATTGAATCTAATGATGATGTTAAATTCAATGAAAGTAAAAGTAACACTCAGGATGATATAGAAGATGTAATAGAAGATTCACAAGGATTATCAAAATTAGGCAGAAATAAATTGTTAAAAGTAAAACTTGAAATCAATAAAATTGAAGATATAAAAAAAAATTCACAGGATAGTAAGAATGAATTAAAAGAAGATAAAGAATAGATGAAAAAAAACAGAAAGAAATTGTACAGACAGAAATTATTTCAAAAAATATAGATAATAAATATGATTTACTTGATACAAAAAAATCTATTAAAATTAATGTTGAAATAGTTAATAATAATAATAACAACAACAATAATAATAACAACAACAATAATAATCATAATAATCATAGTAATAATAATCATAACCATAATAATATAGATGATATTAAATCAGATAGTAATATACAAACTATGAATCAAGATCATGAATCTATTGAAGGAAAAAGTCAAATTCATGATGATATGGAAGATATAATAGAGAATTCACAAGAATTACCTGAATTAGAGAAAAAATATGATGAAAAGCAATATTTCATAAAAATAAATAGAATTGAAGATATTTCTTCTTCAGTGAAATGTCATGAAGTTACAATTGAAGATAAAGAAGTATCTGAAATTATTTCAAATAATTGTGATAATGACAATACTGAAGTTCCTAAAGATAATATTAAGGAATTTGAAGAAACCAATGAAATTAATATGATTGAACCAAAGATTTCTTCTTTTGTTATTGAAAATAATTTATGTGATAATGAAAAAGATACTATAGTTGATGTGCAAAAAATAAATGACGGATTAGTCTCTAAATCTTTACTCGAGTTTTCCTCACCTAAAAGTACTATGAAACGTCAGGCAAAATTTAAATCCTATTCATCTTATTCAACACAAGGACGTGCTGCTCATATGATAGGATTAGTAACAAAACAAGCTAGAATGGAAAGCGAATCCTGTGTTATAAATTTAGATGATGAACTAGTAAGTAAAAAAATAAAATCCAAAGATACAGATAATGATATATTGCTTGGAAAGAAAGAACAAGGATCTGTATTGAAAGAGGCTGATAAAATAACAGCATTATGTAGTAGCAGACAAGAAAAAATTTTTAGTAATATGAGATCAACAGATTATTGTCCTTCACCTCCAATAAAATTATTTTCTAATTTGAAAAATGATGGAGAAAAAATTTTCTCAAAAACAGACAAATCAATAGATAATGCACTTGTACAAAATGATACACAAACTGATAAAATAGGAGAAGAAACTGTACTTGAAGCAGATGAATTACCAATTTTGGAATGGTCAAATGCAAATCCACCTTCATTAAATGCAAGTCCAAGTGCAAGTATATTAAAACGTCAACGACAATATTTTCCAGAACCTGATTCAGATATAACTCCTAATAAGGTAATTTTTAAAAATATTTTAAAATAGTTTGATAAAATGTAAAATAATTGCTTTATTTCATATATTTTTTATAATATTTAATTTTTATATATTTAAATAATTTTTAATATAATTTAACTTCAAACATGTTAATTGTAAAATATATTATATTTTATTATAGAGAAAGAGAGTAAGTTTTGCGGATCCTCCGGTTTCGAAAGAAATGGGATATGAGATTACATCTACTGATTCACCTCATAAAATTAATAAATTTACGTCACGTGGATTATTAGCACGTAAGGATTCGTCATTAAGATTAAAACAAATTAAACAAAAATTAACATCAGTTGATTCAGATAAATTAGAAAAAAGTGAAGAAATTGATATGACAAGTGTATCTGAAGTTGACTTACAATGTGAAAGAGAAAATGAATTATTAACAAAAATAGCTGAAGAATTAGAATATTCAGAGAATGTCACAATAGATAGTGATGTACAAACATCATGTGATTCTGCAGAAAATGAATCAATAAATACCGTTCCTATAGTAGTTAATAAAGATAATAATATTAAAATTAACAATTTAAATGTTGAATTTGAAATTACTCAACATATAGAATCAACATCTATGAATAAAATAGATCAAAATAAAGAAGATAAAATTTTAGAAAGATCAAAAAATAGTATTAATTTAGAAAATAATGATTCAGCAACACAAACAGATATATTTGGAGTAGATGCAAAAGAAACTAGTACAGAGACTTCTATTAATATTGATACAAGTGCTATACAAAATACATCTATTAAAAATAATACATTAGATCTGCTTAAATTCAATATTGGAAATAATTCTATAATAGAACATTCATCAGAAAAATGTATAAATTCTGAAAATTTAGAAGATACAGCAGATGCATCAAATCTTACTGAATTGAATTCTTCTGCAAATTTAGATGAAATCTTCTGTGGAAAATTAATAAGAACTAGTACACAATCAACAGAAAATTTACATGAACAAGATACTTTACCAGTCACTGATTCAGTATTTGGTAGTTTACCTTTGAGTCAAGATAGTCAATGTACAAATGAATTTAATGTAGAAATTTCACATCCAGAATTATTAGATTCAATTCAACCTATATATCCTACATTAATATCGTGTAAGGAACCTATAACATCTATCATTGAACATTTGACTAATCCTCTTTGGGTGCAACATTTATCTACATATTTTATAAATAGAAATATTCAATCTATTGGTGATCTTGCACAATTATCTGAACGTGAAATAAATAGAATACCAGTTAAAGGTAATTCAAAACTTGAATTTGTAAAAAGTGTATTAAAATGCTTTGAAAAAAAATATGTTTCAAAAGAATTAAATAATACAATGGAAAATGTAGATAACGTTTTAAACAATGAAATATCACGTTCTGTAAATATTAATGTACTTTCATCTACACTGAAAGTATCTCAAGAACAAGTATTACAAGACATTACAACAAATATTGATGATATACATAATAAAGTAAATCATAATGTAACATTAAATCAACCAAGTTCTAGTAAAATTTGTGACGTTGTTATAACCGACAAGAATATAGAAACAACTGTATCAAAATCATCAGATATAACGTCATCAGATATAATGTATGTTGATAATAATTATCTTTTATTTTTTGACTTTAATATTAAAATATTATTATTATATTTAAATTTAATATTATTTTTATTCAAAATATATTTTGTATTATATTATTTATTTTTATTTTTATATTTATTTTTTTTTAATATCAATATTTTTTATTTGCTATATATTTAATTTTTTGTTATAAATATATTTGAAAGTCACAAGGACTTAGTTACTACTACTAAAATACTATATTGAATTTATACTTTTCAGTCCTTCTTTGTTTTTCATCATGAATAGATTTAAAGCAATGAGCTTATAATGAATAAATATCTATAATCTATTTTTTGATAGAATGTATTTATATTTATATCATAAATTTATTAAATTGTAAAAATAAATTTATTTACATAGAAATATTTCTGTGGAGATAGAATTTATATAAAATACAAATAATATTATTTAATATTTATATATTGTATAATAATATTCTATTTTTTTTTAGACAAATTATAAATGTACCAATGTCACCTAAAATAATTACTGCTTCTACATCAGAAAATATTATTGGAAATTCTACTCCTTTTGTTAGAAGTGCAATATCATCTATACAAACAACAAAAACTGTTGGAACTTGTACTAGTAGTGATTCTATTTATCTATCTAAGACAGGAGTGAATAAAGCAACAAAATCGGTCGCAGCACAAATGGCTTTGGAAGATTTATTAGATGAAATAGATGTTAACTTAGTGCTAGAAAGTGCAGCAAGAAGATGCACTCCAGATAAACTTCTTATCCAATATAAGGTAATTTTAAAATTTCATTTTAACATATTTATATTTCAAATTTTAATTGCTGCTAATGTAGATTTACATTTAAATTTGTTTTTTATTTTTTATCACATGAACTATAAAATTATTACAAAATATAGAACATAAATTTTATATTTCTTTTCTGTAAATTTATAATAAATTTTTTTATTTTCAAATTATATTATTACTTATTAATTTATAATTTATAATTTTTATCTTTATCTAATAATAGAAATATGTCATAATTAATTTTTAAATTTTTATAATATATTTTAATTAATATTTAATATTAAGATTTAATATTAACATTTAATATAAAATGAAAAAAATAGATTATGAGTGCATTATAAGTTATAGACATCTGGATTTTTTACTAATTATATTATAATTTCATCATTTAGATTAAAAATAATAACATAACTTACATTTGATGATATGTAAAAAACGCAGCAAATTAGGAAAAATAGTGGTTTCAATAAATTCATAAAGATTTGATTGATTTATTATATGAATTTTGAAATAATGTGTGGAATTGCAAATGAAGACATTTTTATTTTCGATGTTTATTCATGAAAATGCATGACAAATTTATATAATAATTTTCTATTTTGATATTTGAGAAAAATACAAAAAATATATATATATATTATAGGACAAGAATGATAGAAAATATAGAAAAAAGTATATAGAAAAAAGTAAATATAGAAAAAATAAAAAATTTGTAGAAATATTTGATAATAGGTTAATATCTTACGTATAAAAAATACCTGTGTATTAGTTTGTACATATATTTAATTTTTTCAGTTTTGTATTAATATAATAAAAAATTAATATAAATATTGGAATAATGGTGAATGAAATTTCTTTTTAATAATAATATATTTAATAACATGTTCTATAAATGTTATAGATTGACAGTTTGTTCGCGTATATAACTTATATAAGTTTTATATCATGCTTATTTTATAATATCATAAAAATATATGCATTATTCATTCTAAAAAGATATATAATAAAATAATATTATAATATTATAATATTATATTATATTATAATATTATAATAAAAAAGTTAAGATAGAAATTGAAATCAGATTATTTTCAAATATATTATAGAATATTGGTAGATGATATAAAAAAAGTTCTCTCTAACATATAAAATTTTAAACATAAAAGATATTTATTTATTTATTTGTCTATTTTTTTATCTTGGAATTATATATCTAATCCAAAATTTATAAAATTAATGTAATATCTTCAAAACAGTAGTTTTTAGATACAAAAAACTAATGTTTTATTAAATTTATATTTCTGAATTTATATTTTTTTTTTATGTTGTGCAACAACTATATATAAATTTTTTTTTATTGTATCAGTGCTTTTTTAATGTCTTGTATCTTTACTTTATATTAAAAAATAATTAAGATACTTGGCGATAAAATGGAATAGTAAACATATTTCGATATTAATTCTCATCGATCGGGATAAACTCTCGAAATTAATGAGTTAGAGTGTTGAGTTAATTCAATGAACAAGAATTAAGTGCCATTGGAATATTAATAAATTGTAAGTTATTTGTTGTTAATTATTAAAGTAAAAATTGATTTTAATTTCTCATTTTTATTTTTTTAATAAAATTGAAAAAATTTAAATAAATACACATAAATATCGATATTCTCACATATTTTTATATTTTTTTTGCAAGATATAAATAATTAAAGAAAATTATTAACTTTTATAAATAAAAGTTATTTCCTGAATTTAATTTTTAAATTAGTTCTTTTTTATAATTTTGTTATATATTAACTTTATTATAAAAGTTCATCATTAAATATTTTAACAGTTCTTTTGATTAATAATAAACGTTTTAAAATATCATTTATTTCTTAATAGATATTTAAAATAGGATACAAAAGTTAGAATTATTTTTTAAATTTATTTATTTATTAGAATTCTGACTGTAAAAATTAAAAAATATCAATATTGATCAATGTTCGACTTGATCATTTCGATTTGTTTTGAGTGGAGAGTTCAGTTCGAGAATTAATAGATTATATTAAATAAAAATATAAAATTTTTGTTTTTTTTACAGGATAAAATGAGACATGTATCGCAGGTAGAATTGGAAACTGAAACTATCAAAATACTTGGCGCTGAAAATAGAAAGAATTGTAATGAAATAACATTGAAAGCAGCATGTCGCGCTTGTGGAATAAACAAAGTTTTACTTCGACTTCCTGATATTTTCAGTACTGACAAACAATTTTTCGTAAAAGTATTAAATGCTTACAAAAAAAAGATAAAGACTAGTGATTGTATGGATATTCTTGATTTTAATGAAGTTAAGGACGCTGTTTGTCAAAAATGTACATCTTCAGAATTTGCTGAAATGTTATCCAAAAAATTAAAAGAAGAAGAGCAAGAAGGAATAAGAAAACCCATGACAGAGTTATCTAGTTTAGATGCAATGTTGAAAAGAATGCCAATGGATGTAATCATTAGCCATACAGTAGCAAATGATGAATTAATACCGTCGCGTGTCGTTTTAGACATAGCTTTACAAAATAATAGTCCAACTGATATAATACAAGCTTTGGAATCTCAGTCCTCTGTTGTTACTCAAAATGTTTTCAACAAACTTTGGTCTTCCCAATTTGCAGTCGAATATATTAATCAATGTAAATCTAAAGAGGATTTATTAAAGATTTTCAAAGCAATTAGCTTAAAACTCAGTCAGCAAGATCTTCTTCAAGCATTTTATGAATCTATGAATGTTAAATTAATGGTAAAGCAGGAAAATGATTAAAGATCACATTTACATTTACAGATCCTTCTGTATAATAATTTTTATCATTAATATTGTTTATAAACGTAAATTGATTCTCAATAATATGATCCTCGACATTAAAATGTATTATATATTATTTTTTCTTCTTAAACTAAGTTTCATGAAGAAATCTTTTAGTGATATTATATTACAATATAATGACAAGTAATATGACATTTGTTAACAAATACTAAAATGTAGAAAATATTTATTAAAAAAACGATTATTTTTTTTCATTATAATTTAACATTTTTAAATTCTAATTAAAATTATGTCGAATTTTGTCAATGTTCGACTTAATTAACTGTGTTCATTATTTATTATATTCTCATGTAAAATTTATTATACAAAAAAAATATCTAGTTTCATTTATATCAATTTGCATATGATTTATTTCATATAAAGATATAAGATATGTTTATATTTGCTATCATTCTTACTTTTATTTTATAAAATATTATTGAAAAATTTTCCATCCAATGATATAATATATAATAGTCCCAATCACTTTTTATTAATGATTTTTGACTACAATTTTACAACTGAAATAAAATAGTTATTCTTAATTATGTAATTAGTTCACTTATATAGAAAAGCACTTAATTACACATATAAATATATATACATGTGTAACAAATATTTTATTTGTTTTTTCTTTTATCCTTTGACGGATATATTGTAAACAATTTAACGTTTATAATTGAATTAATAATTAGTAATTCTATTGAATAAAAATTCTTAGTAAAAAAATTGTATTCAATACATTAAAATAATTTATTATGACTCAGAATATATACACTTTCGCCGATGGATTAAAAATATTTTTTATTTTAACTAATCATCATATCATTAGTTTATTTTTGGCATTTTGAATAAAAAATATTTTATTATATATTAATATTAATTGAAAAATTAAAATATTATTTCTGCAAATATAAATTTTTTTAAATATACTATATATATAACATTTAGCATACAATATTGTAAATATTACACATGTATATTAATAATTATTAAAAAATATCAATAATCATTTGCTATATATCGATTACTATATTATTAATTTGTTCAGAATAGATATCATAGTCGAGGATCGGATATAAATGATTGTCATTTGATAATTGTTTTTCAATTGAGATATAATTTTCAGAATTAAATTTTTATTTCTTACAGAACTCTTGCTCTATCTTTTGTTTTGAATTAAATAAAAAGGAAAAAAGGCTAAAACGAAGTTAAAAAAAGAAAACTTACAATTTAATGTTTACTAATTTTTACTTTAATGTAAAAAATTTCTTATGCAAACTATAATGTATTTTGCATAAACTGATACTTTATAGATTATATATTTAAAAAAATTTTTTTGCGTAAAGAAATGTATTTTGTAAGTAATATCTTGCAATCATTTATATTGAAAATGAAAAACCTTAAAATAATTTAAACCTTAAAATATATTTTCAAAAATGAATAGAGAGTCAAATGAGTTTATACTTTCTATTGAAACCTTGTTTGTAAAGTATACTAAATTCATTTCTTGAATTATTATTGATAAATATTAAAATTATTTTATATATTGAATTTTATAATGTCTCTCATCATTAATTGTATCAAAATTTCCACTGGTTATAATAAGGGCCAGTTTTTTCATTAAATATTATATTATTTGTTAGGACATTTAGTTTGTGTATACATATGTATAACACCTCAACATTATGTAATATGTAAACAAGAAAATTATCATTTTTATATTATTATTGATTGCCAATTATTTCTACTCGGTTCATTGTATGAATATGATAAATTTATTTCTTAAAATCTTTTTTATCGAAACTTTGATTGTTTACTATTGAATAATGAACAAGTACTTATTATTCATTGATTAAATTTTAATGTTGGGATGTTATATAATTTGAAAAAAAAGTTTTGTACATATGATATTTAATATTCATCATATCGCTATAAGAATATAAGAAAAATTATATATATAAAAAGAAAAATAAATAAAAAAAAAGAATATTAAATATACAATAGTAAATGGTTATTGTAAGTGGAACATTTATTATTAATTATAAGAAACGATAAGCTTTAAATATTAGAAGTAAGCATTTTTACAATGTTCTCGAGATATGGTGACTACATGTCAATCGTTATACATGAATGTTACGATCGATGTGAAATGTACGAGTGCCTCGAACGAACAAATATCTGTGCATTTTTGACTATCGAAGTTTCAAATTTAATTTCATTTCATGAAGAACAAAATATAATAATAATAATAATTATAACAATAACACAATAATAATACTATAATGATAATAATTTCCATTAGCGAATGTAGCAAATTATGTGTTCATGATTAATCGCCATTTTTCCATATATGTTACAAATTAATTGTCTAATTGTAAGTAAATGTTTAAACAGCTTTCTCCTTTCTGCATAGTATGTTTTTTTAATACGAAGAATAATATTTCTTCATTTTTATTACTTAAGTTTTAAAATTAATTTCTTTGAACCTTTTGAATTTTTTAAACGAAAATATAAAAAAAAATTAGATATTAGTCAAATATTGTGTATATTTTGGAAATATAGGTCTTTTCAGTTAAAATTTACTTCATTTATTTTTCTAAAGAATTTTGATTTACTTAATAATTTTGTTGTTTTTAAATTGTTTGATACAATATTGATTAGAAATCTTAAAAATCTTATTTGTGATAAGAGTATCTGTCTACGTATTTATTCGTGTGAATCTTAAATTTAAATTATTCGTAAATTGTACTTTTCTATTTAATCTGATTCAAAGGAGATAATGAATACACGTTTGCTAATTCATTAACATATAGATACATATGCATATACATATACGTATATAAATAATTTTAGTTAAACAACAGTATATAGGTTTTCTTGGGTCTTAAATAACATAATACGCGTAGTAATAAGAAATTATGCAATAGCTTGTACACGTATCCATTGTGTGACCTGTAATGATAAATCAATATTTTATACAAAATTGATAAGATACAATAAATAAGTTTTATAGTCATTTTTTGCGTATTTTAACTCTTCTTTTAAAATCTTTTCTAGTTATAGATAGTTTATAAATAGTTTTCAATTTATTTTCATTCTATTTTATTTTATATTTTATTATATAATATAAAAATATATTAAATAGTTTGAAAAAATTAAGTTCACTTAAAAAATTCAAATAATACTTTTTTTACTAATTGATGAATCACCAATAATTTAGATTAATAAATTATTATTATTAGATTTAATATTATTATTAATATTATTATTATTAGAATTAATATATTATTATTATTAGATATTAGATATTATTAGATATTAGATATTAATATATTAGAATTATTATACTTCTTAAATAGTGAATTCCAGATTTATTATTTTTGTTTTATTAAACAAATTATTTAAATTATAATTTAATAAATATAAATATTTAATAAATAGTGAAGAAATTATATTTTACTTTCTATGTATTAATATAATATATGTATATAATATATATAATATTATTTCTTAATATTAATGTATATACATACATATATATATAAAATTATATTTATAGATATTTTGATTAATTTTGAACTAATAATTTGTCAAATTTTTGTTTAGCAGAATTTTTATATTTGATATAGTTATTCATTTATTTTCGTATAAAAATAATTGCATATTCGTCTTATTTGAGATATTACGCTTATTGGATCGAAATCAGAGATGCTTTCAATTATATTTGAAATTGTATATTCCCAAAGAAACTTGTATCAAAATACGATGCCCGCTTTTCGACGTCAGGGATGCGCACCATATTCCGGTTTTTACAGCACGTGTAATCGATACACGAAATCTAAAGACTTCTGTATTTATTATTCACATTCTATTTTTCAATAAATTAATAGAAAAAAAAAATAAAAATTTTGATATTTATTATAAAAATTGTCTAATCAAATGTATAATAAATTGTATTTATAATTTAATATTTTTTTCTTAGTTAATTATTTCTTTACGATTTTAGCAATTTAAATTTTTCTACTATCTTTAGATTTTTAAATGGTATTATTATAATTTTGTCAAAAAAATATAAAATTTAACATAGAATATTATTAATGATATTTATTTCATTGTATTTATTGTATTTCATTCAATATAGTATATCAGAGATTATTTTAACATATTTCTAAACATATCAAGTTAAGTATTTAATTTTTAATATAAATTATAATATAGAAACATAATTTTTTAAATTTTGTATTTGCAAAAATGATTGAGAAAAAGAAGTAAATTTTAAAAATTATTAAAAAAAATTTAATTTTAATTTATATAAAAATATAGATATTATTATTATTATAAATATCAATTTTGATTAATTATAATTAATTAACTTATTATTAATAAATAATAAATTTAATAAATATGATTAAAAAAATTTTTATACATATAGCGAATATAAACTTTTAACTAAGAATTAAAAATTTACTCTAAGAACAGAATTCGTTAAGAAAATTTAGTATATTTAATTATTAAAATATTCACATTTTTTTAAAATTAAAATTACGTTTTTCATAAAATTATCGACATTTTTAAAATTCAATTTCCAATATCGAATAAGTGACCACGATAACCTCGGTATTTTTAATATATTACCATTGTATCGAGCTATATTTTTTATTATTAAGTCATTATTTCATCAAACGATCATTAAACGATAAGAAAAGCAATAAGTTTAATTATGTAATGTATTATACTCCAAAAGACAGTATCGTTTTACAAATAGAATATACTTTAAAACTTGTTTTATAAAAAACAATTTTCAATTTTTTACACTCAAATATTATTAAATGAATAAATAGTTAAGAATATATGAAAAAAAAAGAGATATCTTTTTTGCATGAAATGTGAAATTTCAAAGTTTGAGGAAAAGCATTTTCAAACTATTTTTAAAAGTATGGCACTACATTTGGATACTGCATCGATCCGTATAGTTTTGCCGAGGTCAACATCGATGTAGCACGATTGCTTTTTTTAATGATTTTTCATTTTTTTTCTAACAATATTATTTCTGATTTTTTAATCTAAATTTTTCAGAATGTATATTTTTATATTGTGCTATATATTTTAATTT